GAATATTTTATCCCAGGTTTCATCCTTTTTAGGGTGCATATGTAACAGAAGGCGGAGATGATGCAGTGGCAAGTGGCACATTTTACACACGCACGGTCACGGGTTCGAATCCCGGATCGATATCCGCTCAGGCCAACTGAGCCTTTCATCCCTCCGGGGTCGGTTAGTTGGTACCAGGCTCATCTGGGGGGATAAAAGCACTGACTTGTACATCAGCTAGCCACCGTAAGTCATCGTATAGGCCATATACGCATTCAATGCGCCACTACGATTCTGAATGGAAGTTGAATGCGTGGGCAATCCCTCAGACGGAATTGATTCTAGACTTTATCCTTTACACTTCATGAACTGAAGATGATAGTGGCCGTTCTGAAAGTGCAGACAAAGTTCAATTCAAAGTCATTTTCTGTAGGGTATGGGCTGCAATTAGACAACTATGCAACCGCTAGTTAGAGTAATCTTTAATCGTCTATCGGACTCAGATGGATCGTTCTCATAGGTAATAAAAGTTCATGCTCCTGCAGGATTGGCTTGTGTGGCTGTGAATATATTGAGACATTATGTTCTCTGCAATAAGCCGTAAACCCAGGTCATGCTAATTTTCCCTGTCAATCCGCCGTCAACTCGAACTAATCGGTCAGAGTTCACGGAATCTCAGCCGACAAATCCTCCTCTGTATCAAGGAGACGATTTACATGATCTCTGGTGCGACGAGCCCTTGGCGAATGGGAATAGGGCGACACAAAAGAACATAGAGGGACCCAGAACTTTCTTATCTAGTGTTGGAAAAGAGCTGCCCTCCCTCACTTATAGGGGAAGTTGGCGTAGTGCATACCTCTCTAATAGGATTCTCAACATTCCGCCGAATCCATTCATCATCCACATCCAACTCCCAGGGATATGCGCTGAAGTTGAATGAACATCACGGGCGAACGTGTCTCCCTTGGATTTCTGATTCTTTACAAACTTTTTTCGAGTACTCTCTATGGTTACAGGGGAGTCCTGATTTACCGAGCGAGTGCTTACTTTTTCAAGCGGTTGTGCAGCATTTGGTGCAAAAGTTCGGGGAAACAGATCTGTAGATTAACTTTTGTTCTGGGAGTAGACTGGACCAGGTTGACCCTTTTTCGTGGCAGAATGAAAGACTTTAAAGGAGTAATCCACATAGTCAGTCATTTAAAGAGTTTGCAAAGAGTTAGAACTCAATGAATAACTTTTAAAAGACATGTAAAGGCATTTCTCGTGGTTAAGAATGCCAGTGGGTCAGGTTTGTTCATCTTTCTGACTTGTTTGAGCCTACGATCTATTGCTCTAACTCCTTGCAAAATTCTGTGATTGACTGACTATGTGAATTACTCCTTTGAATGTGCCCACCTGCGGAAATGGTTTGCAAAGCTCTTCCAGGGGAGCATTAGTACATCAGAATGGGTTTTTCGAGAAAAAACTCCTGTAAAAAGTTATTCAAATAAGAAGTGAAGCACAAGTAAAAAGGAATTACATTGCTAAAGTTCCACTCGAAATTCCCGCTTTTAAAAAATGCTACTAAAATGGCCAAAAATCGTGACGACATTCCTGGTGGTCACTTACACAGCCACACTCAACGGGTTCACTGAATGAGAATGTCACTCTCAGTATTAAAATCTCAGAAGTTAGGGTTGAAGTTCTTAGTCGATGGCTTATGCCGTTGTCTCCCAAGAAACCGCCTTGGATACTTGGCTAGGTTTTTGTAGAAGTTGATCGAAAATCTTG